AAAAGATAATTTACTCCGAAATTCGGATTCCTAATTACTTTGGCAATTAACCGTTTTTTTCAATAATTGTTAGCTAGCATTCTAGCAGTCCTCAATAACTAGGCCGCTAGCTAACAATTATCGGAAAAAACGATTAATTGACGGAGTAATTAGAAGTCCCAAATTCGGAGTAAATTATCTTTTCCGGACAGTCCATCCGGGCCTTAACATAAAGTCTACTTTTCGCATGGAGTGCGTCAAGTAAATTCTCATGGAAAGAACTCCACGTAAAGTCATTACATTACACTTGCAATTAACATTTGCGTATTAATCCTACATTGAGATGAATAATCGTGTGAAAAGAGTTCCTTGAACGGTGGGATTGAGTGGGTATATATTTAATTTAATTCTGAAAGAATTCCCTCAGGTGACCTCCCATTCGTGTGTAATAAATCAAAGGTTTGAATTGAGAGTTGAATTGTTTGGCATCGGCTTGTAAATTCATTTAGTGAATTGTTGTGGTGATGAACGTTTAGAAATGACTTGCAGAATAGTACATAACTACTATATAAAGCTTAGTAATCCATGATATTCGTTTTGTTCAACGTACGATGTACATGATCATTCTCACAACCGTGATATATCACAAAGTAAAAACAAAATAATAATCACATCAATTGTTCGTGAGCTAAAGGAATTACTAAAAATGGGTAACCATCAACATTTATCTCTCAAATTTCGAATATGTAAATCACAATTACAATCCCGTAAAGATTAATTAAATTGACAACTAACTACTTAAATATTGAGGGATCTATTTTTTTTGTTATGGCACTGATAGTCGAATTTGATAATACTTCAATCAATTCAAATCCAATTCAATATTGCCGAAAGTGTCTTATGTACTATTGCAATAATTAGTTAAAAATTAATTAAGAATTTTTCCATGAATAGTTATCCCGATGCCGCTTCAATCTTTCGAGTAATTTTTCATTGAATGGACTGTAATATTTATTGAATATTTGTCAAGGGAATATTTATTTATTGAATATTTGTCAAGGGAATATTTATTTATTGTATATTTGTCATTTGCAAGGGTGAAGAAACATTTTGCAATACCGAATTATTTACATTTTTCAATCAATTTGTTTCAATAAAACTGCTGTGTGGTAGTGACTCAATAATTAATTTTTTTATCTAAGGATATCGAGTGTTACTGGTTATTATCAATGGTCACTCTGTTGGAAACAAGTGCATGAATCAAATCTTTTTTTAATTGTGACTATCCGGACTGGATTTCTATTTTATTCTATTATTCAGTAACAATTTCGTCTAAAATTTGTAATAAACATATTTTCTAATCCTTAATAAAAAAAATCCAACGATTTACTGTGACGTCACAAGAATTCAGCCCTGAAATCAATATAAATAAGATAAATAAGTATATATATTTGATATATAATAAATGTATAAATTCTTTTCTTTGATTATGGAAAAATTTTTGTTGCAGGGATTTTAGGGAAAATGGTGTTCATTGGTTTCGGCGCTCTTTCCCTGGCACTAGCTCTCGTCATCGGCTTTTCCTGGGGATTGAGTGTCCAATCCTTTCAAGGAAGTGATGTGCTGAAAGATGTTCCATTAATTGACGGGTATGTAAATAAATGAGTGAGGCCAGAGGTAACGGGTTACAATTCTCTTTGGCCGAGAGTTGAGTTTTCAAGAGATATCTCTGAATCTAATAGAAGCATCGAAATTTTAGAAAAGATCATTTCTATCACTCTCTTTTCACCCCACAAAAATGATTTTAGCAAGAAATTCACTATTTCTCTTATTTTCAAAGATATTTACCGAAAACACAAATGGGAGAAAAGTTGGAATTACCTTTTACCTTTTTGCTGCAATCAATCGTTGAATTAATAATTTGTTGTTTATTGGAGATATTTTTATTATTATTTTTAGGCATAATGATCTAGCTTGGAATCTGTATTTGAGACACGGAAATAATCTAAGTGCTTTTCATTTCGATCAAGACTTGCGAGATGATCCAATAATGGGGACGGCTGTCTGTGACGCTTGTCGAACGGATTTGCCACGATTGGCTAAGGGGAAAATTGGTGGACAAGTAAGTCACATGTAAATCTTGAATTCATTGTCAGCTTTGTATATTAAAATTCTGGATTATTCATCAAATTCAACTCAGCACTTCGTAAATTCTATTTTTTTTTTGCGGATATTTTTTATTGGAATTTTCTCGGCTATTCCTGGGTTTTTCATGGGCCTGAGTCCCAATTTTGGAGTAAATTATCTTTTCCAGATAATCCAACCGGTCCTTAACACAAAGTCTACTTTTGTAAATTTTATTTTTTTTTTGGGGATATTTTTTATTGGAATTTTCTCGGCTATTCCTGGGTTTTTCATGGACCTCAGTCCCAATTTTGAAGTAAATTATCTTTTCCAGATAATCCAACCGGTCCTTAACATAAAGTCTACTTTTGTAAATTCTATTTTTTTTTGCGGATATTTTTTATTGGAATTTTCTCGGCTATTCCTGGGTTTTTCATGGGCCTCAGTCCCAATTTTGGAGTAAATTATCTTTTCCAGATAATCCAACCGGTCCTTAACATAAAGTCTACTTTTGTAAATTCTATTTTTGTGCGGATATTTTTTATTGGAATTTTCTCGGCTATTCCTGGGTTTTTCATGGGCCTCAGTCGTTTGGAAAATTGATTTTTCTTTCAGTTCTGGTCAGCCTACGTAGGATGTGATTCCCAATACAAAGATGCTATCCAATTAACCTTGAGGCAGATCGACGTGATTAAACGACTCATAAATAAATACCCGGATAATCTAGAATTTGTCACCGAAGCTGGGAAAATTGAATCTGTTTGGAAAACCGGGAAAATAGCATCGATGATTGGGGTCGAGGGAGGACATCTGTTCGATTCGAGTCTTGGGGTTCTTCGACTTTATTATGAGTTAGGAGTTCGTTATATCACGCTTACACACACTTGTAACACCCCCTGGTAATTCAATTTTTATTTAATTATACATACTCCCTAATGAAAATGAAAAGTTAATTTTTAAAGCGACTAGATTTCTATTGTAATTGATCGATCTGTCAGTTACTAATAGAATTTTATTTTATTCCAAGTCAATATTTTCTTGAAAATATTCGCAGAAATAATTATCAATACCCATTTTTATAGTATTTAGGAAGCAATCGCTAATTGTTAATTATAAATAAATGTTTAATTCTTTATATGATAGGGCTGATGCTTCCACTGTTAATGAAGGCTCCGTCTACAATTTGACAGATTTCGGGAAGGTACAGTAATTTTTGAAAATTAAATTACTTAAATGTTTTGAATACTCTAATTAAATTAAATGAGTTTGATAGAGTAGTCTTGTTGTTAGAAGTGCAATTAGTGCAATAATTTTGAAATTAATATGATGAGTTTATTGTTAGTTTTGAGTGATTATAACATTGGAATTTTTATTTCCAGACGATTGTACATGAAATGAATCGGTTGGGTATGATGATTGACCTGTCCCACGTGTCCCACAATGTCATGAGAGACGTACTTGTCACAACAAAAGCACCAGTTATTTTTTCCCACTCATCATCTTTCAGTGTCTGTGATCATTACAGAAATGTACCTGACGATGTCCTTTACATGGTTGTATGTACTCCACACGTCTAATTATTGACGTCTAATTATTAATGCATTGATACTTATTTGAAGTATTAAAAATTCCTCTGATTCCCGATTTACATTCATTTTTCAGAAAGAAAATCGTGGAATTGTTATGGTAAATTTCTACAACAATTTCGTTAACTGTAATGAAACTAGGGAAGCGAGTATTGAAGATGTTGTTGGTAAGTTGACGTTTGTACTCATTTCTGAAATGTTTTTCTTTATCGATTTTGATTTTTAAGAAATTTGGGGGCAGAATTCACAGATATTTGTTTTTTTTTATACAATTGATTCTCATTTCGTAACTTTTTTTCGGATTCCCATTTTTTTAGCGAAGTGGTAGAACAGTTTAAGTACAAAAAAGTGGATTTTAATTTAAATGAATTTATAATAAATAAATAGTTCCGCTTTGTGCAGTCATTTCTTAGAGAATTAATTACTCGTGAATTTTACGTAATTCTTCTGTTGCAATTTCTTTCTTTTTTTTTGCATTTCTTATCGGTTTTATGAAATGAGACACAGATATGATTTTTATTTTTAGCACTCTATTTTTTGTTTTTTCTTTCCTAGAACACATAAATTACATAAAGAATTTAATTGGACCAGATCACATTGGAATTGGCGGTGATTACGACGGAGTTAATGAGTAAGTGATAATGGTGATAATTGAGGTGACAAGAAAATTTATTCCTGGCTTATTTGATAATCACTGGGATTTTTAGTTCTCTTTACAGACTATTCTTAGAAATTCCACGGATAAGTTTGGCTGTTTGTTGTGAGATCTTATCAGTTGTCATTTGTGCAGTGACAATGGAATTATTCGAGTCATATCATTTCGCCATTACGCCATTATCCTCAAGTGATTTTCGAAGGAAATGCAATTACACTTTTTCAGTTTCAAAGTTACCCGTAAAATTACGCGTTTTTTTTAGATAATTGCGTGATTAGCGGACATGTGGTTTCCAGTATGAACAGACAGAGCATTAAATCAATGTCATTATTCTGTTTAGTAAAAAAACATTCGGATGCATATTGCTAGCTAATTATCGATAATATCTATACTAGATGTAATGAAAGAGTAATTAGCCATTGAATTCCGTGGAATTTCCAATAGCTCAAAAATTGAGAACAATAATTATTTGAATTTTCAGTATTTCCATCAATTTTTTAATCTTGGAAAGTCTAAAATCGGAATTTAATTCAATTTTCATGTACATTCCGGTATTTACAAAATTTTTCAATTTTTTACATGAAAATTTTTGTTTTGAATCCTTACATCGCCGAATTGATTACAATTTCATGGCTGGATTTATTCACTTCCACAATTGAATGGTAAAAATAATGAAAATGATTTCAGTATGCCAAAGGGTCTGGAGGACGTTTCAACGTACCCGAATCTTTTTAATCGCCTGTATAACAACCGCGAAAACGAGACCGAGTGGAGTCGAGAAGATCTCGAAAAACTCGCGGGTAGAAATTTAATTCGCGTTTTTGGTGCTGTTGAAGAAGTGCGAGACAGTTTGTCGGAAGTTCCTCCAAGTGATCGTGTCATTAGCGGAATGGAGTTGTACATGGCCCAGAAGAAAGAGGGATTGAAACCCGGAGCATGTCAGACAGCGACTGAGTGAGTGATAATCACTTGATTAATATGAAAATGAATAATTATTCAGAGTTCACTGTTTGCTGTAGGTGGAAGCAAGTGGACATGACCAAATTATAAATACCAAGGCAGTTCAAAGGATCACTTACTGAATCATCTGTGGTATTAACTGCTCGTTTTCCCTCGGACATAGAATTTAGAAAATCATGAATTCCCTCCGACATAGAATTTCGAAAATCATGAATTCCCTCCGACATAGAATTTAGAAAATCATGAATTCCCTCCGACATAAAATTTAGAAAGTCATGAAGATTTTTCTGTTGTCAATACCATTAATAAATAAGTCTAATAAATTAAGTTGCAAAATAACTAAGTTTAATAAATTTACATATTTCTTCATTGAATTCTTGCGGGAACAATAGAAAAATTTTCTTCTTGAATAAATTCGATGTCAAATGTTGAAATCTCGACTCCTCATGAAAATTCAAATTATTCAAATAATGTTTAATAGGTCCTTTTTTTTAGAACTTGAACAAATGTTTTTGTGTCGTCCGAATTAAAATAGAATATAAATAGATTTAGAGTGTTTAGGTAAAATAGAGAACTGAATTCTTTTGTCGCTACTTTGTAAATTGGGATATGAATTGGTTTTCAGTATGACATTAAGATTAATTGATTACACGGAATTATGAAAATTTAATAAGTAATTTATGAATAATTGATGTGTGTAATATTATCATTTGACATATAAAATCTGAATATTAAAAGAATTAAAAAAAATGACCCACAATTTATGTTTTTTTATTCAATTAAATTCAACTGATAAATACAATATTTTTTTTTTTATTCTAGACAAATCATTATTTTATTAAAATGGTATATTATATCATATAATATATATAAATTATATATATAAAGGGATAGTGAATCGGAAAAAATTCACTTGCCACTCGGAGGAAAAATCGAATTAATTTTTTTTCTGTATTAATATATATAATACATAATATATATATTTACTATATCAATCAATCGTTGGCATAGATTTTCTATAATGAGAGAAAAAAATCTGTTCTCTGTGATTTTAAAAATATTTAAGAATATTTTATGTATTTATATCTCGTGTACCTTAAACGACCTTCAGTTAGATTGAATGACGTTTGCGCAATAATTCAAGATGATTCGTAAAGTGATCTAAGTTCAGTATCATCAATTGCCTGAGATCACGTAAGTCGACTGCTTCCTTGATTAATCCGATGTGCTCTCCATATCTGAGAATATTTTCCAAAAAAAAATCGTTTGTAACACTTCGATCTCCGAATGCAGTAGAATTTTTTGTGGGCATCAGTCAGCGGCGAAAGATCCATCGTAAATATTGTTTTTCATTCGGCAATTGCGTAAGGAATAATGAGCGGTACATCCCTTTCCAATGCCAAGATCGAGATGGAGATGGTAGCGGTATATAATCGAAGGCATGACAAAGATGAGAGGAAATTTGAACGAGTGAGTTAGAAGTTTTTTGAGAAATCACCAGTCAAAGAATTTTATTATTTCAATTTGCAAAGACTTCGATTTTCTGACGGGCATATTTTAAAATGCTGTGCGATAAGTGGATTTTTATCGTTTTATTTCCAGTTTTTTATGGAAATTCGGTGGAGGGAGGCGTGCAATTTCGGAGTAATATGACAGGAGAAATATCTAAATACCTGCGCACTGATGATTCGCGAATAGTCAAGGGGATGAAGATAATCGTTTATAAAGGGTTCGTCAATTTGGTAGTGAAAAAAAACATAATGAAGTGACAGAAAACGAGTGGCTAATTTATTTAATTATCGATGATATTTCGTTTTATGCAATATTGGTTTTGTTCTGATAACTTTTAGGAGAAATATCGAAGAAGCTTCAACGGTAGATTTTCCAGTAACATCGGTTGAGTTAATTTATAAAGAGATCAATCACACGAAACCCTTGGTTATTTATGTTCATGGCTTTCGCGAACATCCGTCCAACGAAAGTGTTCGAACTGTTGTTGGAGGTGAGATAATTAGGAAATTAGTCGAATAATTAATAATCCCACCATGACATACGATTTCCACGATGAATATCTACTCCGGAAATGAAGCTGAAAAAAAGTTAACGTCCGTTTTTTATGATCATAACATTTTCATCTAAAACGATTGCTGATACGGCCACAACAATTTTCCATCCGTCTAATAAAAAAATAGCCAATTGCTACTTTCACACAAGAATCTGAAAATTTTGTTAAGTCATCGAATTTTTCAATTTTTATTCAATTTTTATTTTAAAAATGTCGCGATTAATGTATTGCTCGTAAATTGCATAACAGCCTAATAATTATTAATATTTATTAGACTTATTAATAATATAATATTATAATATTATTAGACTTATTAATAATATAATATTATAATATTGTTAGACTTATTAATGAATTATTATTGAATCACGAATAGTTAGTGGTGTGTTGATTTTGTTTATTATTTATAGCAATTAATTAATATTGAGATCTATCTCTGGCATAGCTTACTTGGAGCATGGAAAAGAAAATATATTACTTCTGGACTGGAGTCGACTAGCTGCTGGTGATTATATCGCAACTATACAGCGAGTCAGAAAAATTGGAGAAGTTCTAGCAAAAGCTTTCGACGAACTCGTAGATCTCGGTTTGGATCTTGAAACCTTCCACTTGGTGGGGCACTCATTAGGAGCGCAAATTGGTGGTTTCTTTGGCAAATCCAGCAAGTACTCCATCCCTAGGATAACAGGTGCACAAGCAGATTCCCCTTGCAATTTAATTATTTGATTAACTCAAAGCGTGATTAAATCGTTGATTAATTTGATTACGTCTTCAGATGACTGATTAATGCTCAGATCACTTTTTCATTGTTCATGGGAAATAATTGCAGAAAGTGGAAAGCAGATTGATTCTCTGGGAGTCTTTAATTCATGAGGATGATGTTAATAACAATTTTGATGATCAGTGGAATTTTTAAATGATTGAATAAATGCCAACAGGACTGGACCCTGCGAATCCTGGATTTTACTTCACCGGATCTAAACACATTGATGCGAATAGCGCAAGATTTGTTGATATACTTCATACCGACGGTGGTTTTTATGGGGCTCTAGAAGATACTGGTACTGTTGATTTTTATGCCAATGGAGGATCCAGACCTCAACCCGGATGTCCCTTTCTGGGGGTTCCCCTCACCCCATCAGGTGAGAACGTACAAATGTCGGTCAACCTTGAAAAATGGAAAAGATACTCCTTCTAAATTTTTGTAGCGAAGTAGTAATTCGTTTTAAATTGAACAAACTGATTATCGTTCCTATGTTATCAATATATGAAACAAAAAATCGATTAATTAATTAATACAATTTAATTAATTAATACAATTTAATTAATTAATCGGTTTCATTAATTGGTACCATTGGTACCAATTAATTAATTAATTAACTGACCCAAAACCAAATGAAATTCATTCAATTAACGGATTTATTACTTTGGGTCAGTTGATATTTTGGGTCAGTTCTTAATATGAATACTTTTACATTTTGCAGTATGAAATAATTATTTTTTGACTCACGTCGATAGCGTGTTCGTTTCAGAATTGTAACAATTCCATCTAATTACGAAAAATTAATTAGATATACATTAACATGTATATAGTAAGCTTTTGACATTCATCATTTATCTAATAAATAAATCTTTCTAATTAGATTTATGCAACCATTGGAGATCATGGCGATATTACGCTGAAAGTATTAAATATGAATACGCCTTTCTCGCCACTCAGTGCGCGTCATTTTATCAATACAGATCAGGAGACTGCGATTGGAATCGAAAAGTTTATTCCGGATATTCCGTTCCGAGGGACACGTAAGTACTCGATTATTATTATTTATCTGCAAATTGATACGACAGATTCTACTGTATTTTTCTTCGATTTTCATTCCAATGTCACATTTCTCATTTGTAAATACATTTTCTCACAATTATTGACACCCATGTCCTTCATGATTCGCAAATCTGTATTTCAGACGAGGAAGCTACTATTTCACGACTAATTCTCGATCTCCATATGGCAATACCCTTGGATACATCAACTGGAATATTTTGAATACTGTGTAACCACAGGGAATTTAAGACTGAAATTAATATGATTCAATACAAACGATTTAATACCTATATTTATTCAATTTATTACCCATCGCCTCGAAATAGAGAATTGAAGACAGGACGTGAGACTATTATAACGCAATATATTTTCAAAAATTCGTTTATTATATTTATCTCGCTGAAATGACATCATCTAGACACCAAAAGCGCGTACAGTGTTTCTAAAATTACTAACAGAATATCTCTGCGTGTCCCTGTCACCGAGAATATCCATTGTGGTTGTCATGGTCATTACCATTTTGTCGAGACTTCTGAATTGCTTGCACCTCCCTAATCAGGTCATTGCTGTAATTAAAAAATACGTCACAATTGGATGCACTGATGTTCGTTATAACTCAACGAATAAAGTCGAATGAGCTAAATTAATGAAAAATGAAATGAAAAATAACATAAAATAAAAATTAACTCACAAAGCACTCCTCCTGATTACTGGAAAGACAACGGCAGATGGATAGCCATTGAATACTGTTGCATTCGAGAGACTGTATGCACCCATATCATCCCAAACCATCCAATCACCTATCTCGAAATTCGGAATTTCGGATCCTTTTATGATACAGTCATAAGGATCGCAGGTGTGTCCCCAGATAACGGAGGGATATTTTTTGTCACTGGGCAGCTAATAATGAAAATTGCACAATTAAGTGTGAGCGTTAGAAATTGAGAGAATGTTGAATCTTTCAATTATTTCAGGTTCTCTTTTTTTTTTTAATGAATGTAAATGTCTTACCTCGTACAACGATGAGGGCAATTGCTGTCTGAGGCCCAAAAGTTCGTTGATGAATGCACCATAAGTTCCATCGTTAACGTAATAAAATTGTTTGACGACGCCGTCTTCTTCGACAACTTTTTTTCCTTGTACACAAGCTGCCAGAGTGAAGGCTGTCTCTACGTAGTATCTTCCGGGTTCACTGATGATCTCGATGGATGGATCGACATTTTCCAGGGCTGCATTGACAGATGCGGCAACCTGGAACGAATAATATCATTTTAATTCCCCATTCACTGCCCATAACGCGTCCAGATGTTTTAATTGAAGAAAATAATTACTGTAATAATAATACCTGCTCGATAGATGTTCCATCAATTCCAGAGATTCCACCGCCGATGTCGATGAGTTTGCAATCAGGAAAGCCCATGGATTCAGCAACTTTAATTAACTGATTGCAGGTCTCGATAGCTCGGCCGTAAGCATCGGCATCCCAGCATGGACTACCCAGATGAAAACTGAATCCATGAAGACACATTCCAACTTCTTTTATGTAACTCATGAGTTTTACGGTCTCCATTGTCGGCTCACAACCAAATTTTCTACTAAAGGTCATCCCACACTCGAAGCCATCGATTCCAATACGAATCACAAGTCTGAAATTAATTATTAATAATTACAATATTTTAATGAATCGAAAGATTCGGAGAAGACTGCGAAATTCACGTGTTGCTAAAGTCATTTCATATTTAGAGAGAATTTATCCAATTTGTTTCATGCGTTTGCTCATCCAAAGCAATCGCATTCAGATAAATTATAATTATTATAAAATAAAAGTTGAGTGATTCCTTGCGATATGAAGTGCTCGGATTGTCTCTCTCAAAATAGAAATCTTAATACTCTCGTATGTTATTTTTTTATCCAATCAATTTCCTATCACGCACTCGTAAATTAATTAATAATTCGTTTGATTTGATGGAGTAATCCGTTTATCATTGTTTCTTGAGAAATATATTTATTAATTAATCATTGATATCGCTGTTGTGGCGACGGTGGAATTACCCAAGTCCCCCCAGTGGCGCAAGTTTAAAATATTCCACTTGCACTCACTTAGCTTCCGGATATAATTTCTTCAGCTTCAAAACCTCATTTGTCGTGTCAACAGTCATCCTATCGACTCCAACTTTTTTGGCATATCTGACGTGTGAGATTCCTTTGATAGGATTTGCGAATATTATGCGATCAGGTGATACACCGCATTCCATTACTAATTGAATTTCTTGCTGCAATTAAAAAAAAATGCTCACTCATTATTGTCAATATCCAAAGATGTTGATAAGATTCTTGGGAATTTATCTAAATGTTTCATTATGTTTACCTTCGATGCGCAATCGTATCTTCCATTGAGTGCGGCTATTGTTCGGACCACTGTAGGATCTGGGTTGCACTTAAGAGCTGAAAAAGTGTATGGAAAGTTTAATTGCATGAAAAAATAAATTTCACCGTAAATTTTGGTTTGATTATGCCACGAAAATTGATAGCAATCTTCTATTTTAATTAAAGCTCAATTCACTGCAGTTTAATTCTAAAAATTCTTTTTACAATAAAAATTCACATAAATTACGCTAAAAATTGAAAGCTAAAAATGAAATGAATTAATCAAGTAATGAGATTTTCCAGAGAAATGAAAATACGAAATGAGTGTGAGTGAGAATCTCTTGGAAATAATTTTCCAACTAGTCGGGAGATTGAAATTCTATTATTAGGATATTAAATGTGGTTAATGTTAATTACCAAAATGCGGAAAAACTCTGGGCATTTTTTCGAGCCATCCCCTGTGCTTTCTCACAACATCTTCCACGTCGAGCAAATAAAATGCCTCTTCTTGCTCATCCACTTCAATAATACTTTTCATAATATCGAAATTAGTCTTGTCATCATCGTAGACAGTTATTCCAGACAAGCCAAAATTTGCCATATCGCAGTCGTTACAAGAGCTACGCTGTCACTGATTAATTTTCCAAACCAACGATCGCTTTTATTCTCCTGTCAATGCATTCATTAGTACTTATCAGTGAAGATATAATCAGAGGTAATGCGCCGCGCGCACCAGAATTATCGCATATTTTGTCAAACAGAGAGAAATCACGGGTTTCCTGGGTCAAAAAATTCAAGTGGTTGTACGAGATATTCTCGTATTGTTTAAATGAAAAAAGCTAAAAGTGGTGAAGGAGTTGACAGATTGAATTCTATCTTCAATCAAACCCCCAGAAAGATGGATCGATCGAATTATCAATACGATTTCGTTATCATGCTTCCTAGTCAAATGTTAATATTGATAGTTGTCAATCAATTATTGATAGCATCTTCATCGAATATTTATCCAAATAAATTTTATCAATCGGGCTAGTATGTCGGCCAATCAGCGCAATTAATGATAAACAATTTTCGAGATCTACGCAACAATTTCAGTGTTCTTCAATATTTTGGAAATTTTATTTTCATTGTTTATATCAGGATATTGAAGAAATTATTGCACGAACTAGTATTTTGATGTGATGAGAGATGCTTGAGGATTTTTATTTTGAAAATAAAATAATTCATTCGGTTTATTTAAACTCATTTAGATGTTTTCTGGAAAAAAATCATTTGAATAAGAAATTGGGAAAATATTGTGAAGAACATAAAAATATAATTAGTTGTCATTAAGGATACACATTACATTTCAAGGAGAAAACCTACGTATCAATGACCTTGAACAAAACGAAAACAGTTTTACGACGAAAATATCATATTTGAGAGAAAAAATTGATGGATGTTACGTCAGATGTTAGCCTTGCACTTTATTAATGTGGAGAATTTTAAAGATTGAGAAATAAAAGAAATCGAATCTCACAAATTAAAACGACAAAGTGATATTCGAGTCATATATTAATCCACGAATGTTTAAGATTAAAGATATTGAAGAGTAAACATCAAGTGAATGAACCCCCACAGCAAATAATTAATGGAATGACGTAATTACACTTTATCATCTCTCCCTCGAGTGCAAATCGATTGAATCAGTTTTCATTAGTCTAAAATTCTAAATAAAGTGCTGCATCTCTTAAATAAACATTCTAGTTATTGAAGAGATAACGCTAAACAGTTTATAATGAATGCCCGACACAACTCGGACTAATTCTCCTTGCGCCAACTGATCTGATAGCCCACAAATGCTAATTAATTTAAAAAAAACATTTAAATGTTGAATCTAATGAATATTAGCCGCCTCTGCTACGTCGATTATCCTAGTTTAAATAAAAAATAAATTTTCAATAAAAAAATGAATAAATTACAATTTTTTAGGTGACCATTTTTTGCAATATAAACATCGGATACATCATTCATCGGTAATCAAAATAATTAAATAAAAATTAGTAACGCAGTAACTGTAGTTTTTAATAAATCTAGTTGCATTTGATAAAATAGAAATCAGTAACTACACTGAGAGAAATATTCAATAAAAATTACGTGTATTTTCCGTAATTCTGGAGCGAAATGTGGTTGTCGGAAATTTTACGGAACTGTCACGAAATTTTTATCTAAAGTCACGGAATTTTTCCACGGTGTTCCGTAATTTTTATCTGAATTATCAGTGAAAAATAACGATACCGTCATTTAAATTTTTCGAATCAACTCCGTAATCGATAAGTGAACTGAAAATTCCGTAATTTTTACCAAATATTTCTCTCCGTGTAGTGCACAAATATCATAATCCATTTTAGTTTTACTTTTGAAGAGAATGTTCGTGAAATATTTCAAGTTGAGATATCGATAATGGTGTCAACGAGAAAATTAAGAGATTGGGATTGATGAAAATATTTACCATGTCATCGACAGTATTTACAGTATTAGAGGACAAGTTTATTTTGAACGCGAATAGAGAGGAAAATTCTGCAGAATAATGGATACGGCAATTTGAGCCATAAATTTAACGTTTTTTTTCATTTTGTTTTCGTAAGACTAGATGATTTCAGGTAAATTTTTCGTAACTTTCGGTTACTTTTTTGGTTTTTTGTATCTCTCAAACAGATCATGAAAATGTAAACTCACCGAATGTTGGAATTCAGTTTTGTTTGCGTCAGGACGTACAATTAAAAAATTCGTCGAGTACTACGTTTTCTCCTCGTTATTTTTTATTTAAAATTGAAATTTAATCTTGCAGCGCCGAGGCCTTCTCACCGGCGCGTCGTCGTCTAGGGAATGATGCCCTGACGCTCGGAATTGTTCAACAGGTAATGCTTGATAGCCCTACCATCAGTTAATCGATATCTATATTATAATAGAAAGAAATTTCGAGAATAATTAATCTTTGGTCACAGACTCTGTTTACGCGACAATGAGGAAAATAGAATTTGGCAAGATTATATTTTTATAGATTCAACTTTAATTATTGTTTAAGGCTCGGGTGGATTATCTAGAAAAGATAATTTACTCCGAAATTCGGATTCCTAATTACGTTGGCAATTAATCGTTTTTTTCAATAATTGTTAGCTAGCGTTCTAGCAGTTGTCAACAACTAGGCCGCTAGCTAACAATTATCGAAAAGAAAACAATTAATTGACCCAGTAATTAGAAGTCCCAATTTTGGAGTAAATTATCTTTTCCAGACAGTCCATCCGGGCCTTAATCAATATTTATAATGAATCTAATAGTTCATTAAATGTCATTCTCAATTGTTGCATTTTAGATTGAAATAGTTTCGCGTAATTTGGGTGAAATTATTCAAAAGTTCCCGCTAATTTTGTGGACAATGGCGGTACCAATGAGAAATTTGAGAACGTTAGCAGATGGACATTCATCTTAGCTAAAGTAAGAGGATAAAATCATATGGAACAGAAGAAGAAACAGTGCAGTTGGACACGTGAACTGTGTTAAGACATTGTCGTTGCTGAACAATAAACATTATCGTACACCTTAACCGCGAACAATAATTCCATTTCAAATTGGCAATCTCAGAGCATCAAAAGTGCTTTCGATTTAGAAAATTATGGAAGATCTCGATAGGTTATGTCGACTGTCAGACGATAAAAAATGGGATGAATTTCCAAAGAGTGTAGTTTTCGTAACCAGTAATAAGTAAGTGACAACTTCTATTGCTTTCCAATAGAAATAACACCATTAATTTTCAGGGTAATAATTGGCAAACTGGCAGAGATATTGACAAAACCAGGGGAAAATCTACCACCAAACGTTTTGTTTGCTATCCTTAATTGTTTGGCAAACAGTTGCATGTATTTTCAACATGAATCACCAGAGCAAATTAAAAAGGAAAATCCAATTTACTTGGAAAATCACTGCCACGAACTCTACAGAGAATTATCAACCCCTTCATCAATGAGTGGTGAATTCTTTTCATTTCCCTACAATGGTATTATCGAGTGGGTGATTGATTATTTGGACAATCATACGACTGAGGATAGAGACGACCAGAGTGAAATTGTCAGAGTTTGCCTCAAATTTTTGTGCAATCTTTCAACATCTTTAGATAAAGGATACACAGCTTTTTTATCAGATCAAAAATTGAGGATCATTATTGGGTAATTTTGCTTTCTGGACTTATAGAAATAATAATTCAGATAAATTCCGGCAGAAAGTATAATAAATCTCTCTCTTCGATGTCTCTTAAATTTATGAAACTTTTACAGGAAAATCCTTCACTGGAATAACTTGAATGTTCTCCTTCCCACCTGCGGACTAATTCACAATGTATTATTCAACACGACAGAGGGAAGTGCACCCTTCGAGCCCTTATCAACCCTCGAAGGTCTTATCAGGGCTGACACCAAGAAAGTCCGTACTGCGAATGATGCAATCATGATGTTCCTTCAACGAACACCAGACTTGCTCGATACAGTCTACGAGGCTTTATCGATGGAAGTCAAGTTATATTTGTTAGAAATAATCTATCAGAATGTAAAGGAGATTGTCTATTGCCACGTGTCAGACGCCATAATTTTCCCAGAGAATACCATTATTTATTTGATGAACAGATTCAAGAGGAGGAGTGATTTAATACTGAAGACTGTCGACTCGTACTTGAATGATATGGAACCTGCTGAGGTCACTATTCTTCTTGATGTTCTGGGGGTTTTGTCGTCGAGTGACAGGAGACAGTGCCATATTTTGCAGAGAGACAGTAGTCTTTTGATAAATGCTGTCTGTATGTTTTCATAATTTATTTTTAGTACTAGTATGAATTGTGGATATTTCATGGCGAAATTGGAATTCATATTTCAGTTTTGCTGAGGGCAATACACATGGCTGGCAAGGAGAAGAATAATTATTTCACGCCAGCACAAAAATTGAGTGATATTGTACCTAATTCTTCTAAGCCTGACGACACAGCCTCAGATGATACCGAGGATATTAGAAATCATCCTGCGTTTGGCTTCAAGGCAGGACTAATTCGATTGATCGGCAATCTCATATACAAACATCGAGCTAATCAAAATACGGTAAGTTGTCATTCATGTTTCATTCGGTAGTTATCCTTGAAAGCAATTCGTAGGCAAGTGTGGAATTTCCCAAAAAATTTTATCTTTTTATTTAGTCTCATTGGGGACGGAAGTTTTGTAATCAAAATTGAAATTTTAGTTTTTGAATTTCTTTTCTCTCCTTCAATATTCCGGAAGATTTTTTAGTCGATTATTTATTAAAATTGTGAAATTAATGGACTTTCCACTTTGTCGACACGAATCAATCGAGAGGAGGCGCCCCCAGTGTCGATTGTTCGACGCTTGAGATCAATGTCTATTGACCGAACTGTTCCTCATTTAATTAATTAATCTCACACCCACCCTCCATGAGAATTCAGAACTTGATATTCACAGCCTCATAAAACAAAATTGCTTCAACCGTTTGTACACCTTGAATGTGATTTTCATTACTTTTGTCTTAAAAATAAATTACTGAATTTCTTCAGCTGAGAGACACTGAAGGAATCGCTCTTATACTGGACTGCTGTAACATTGATGGAAGAAATCCACGTATCCTTTAAAAATTATTCATCAAAGTTTATCGAACTCCCTCAAATGAATTCCAATTTTAGTTTAATTCCTAGTGTATTCGACACTTTATTCCATGTTCATATAATTTGATTTTTCTTACATTATAATAATTAAATAAAATAAAAAATGAAGTGATTCTCCAATGGTGCATTCTCGCTATCCGAAATGCATGCGATGGCATGGCGACAAATCAAGAAGTGATTGCCAATAGCGAAAAAATAAAGTTCATTGACAGCGCTGTTCTTCGGGAAATGGGAGTGACTCTTCATGACGATGAGACTGGGAATACCATTGGAATTGTGGCATTACCGAACGAAAGCCAGGCTGAGAAATCGCCTTGTAGATTTGGATAGCATAGGGCTACTTGATGTATACCCCAACTGGCGCGACCTAAAGGATTCGGCAGATTTGACTGCAATATCTGTTGAATAAATAACCGCCATCGATCAATATCCTGTCAACTACTTGTGAATTAAAAATTTATTTCTCTAAAATTATTGGTCACACAAAGGCATTTTCGATTAGCTACGGATGGACACCAGAATCGCATATCGAAACTATTTACTACAATTCGTAGAAGGTGGTACTTGAATAATTCGGATGTCATTTATTATTTTTTTTTCAGAAAATATTTGAACTATAAAGTAGAAAATAAAGCACCACTGGAATAATTACGATTTCTTCTTTTCTTATTATTCCTCTTTCCCTACGCAGAAGAAAAATCAATAGAGAGTGAATGATGAGGAATTAAAGATGAATTAAAACTCATATAATGGAAAATGCCGATGCCACTATGACTGAAATTTCATGAAATTTCCAACTATATCATGAATAACTATACACACCTGACATAAATTAAATGATAGCTAATGGATTAATTGATATTGACATTTGGCTCTGATAAATTGATTATAAATATGGATTTTGATGATAATCGAATCATGTTGCAGATATGAGTCAATCATACGTTTGCAGATATTTTACGGATCATAATAATACGTTACACATATGCGTGGCTCAGGAACTAATGGGCCGTGTCAGCTGATGTGAAACTTCATAGAAGACCGATACACTTACTACAGGAGGAAAAGGGGGTTGAAGCCTTATTATCGGCTGTTCAACCAACCGTGATACGTTACATTCGCAAATAAAGTTTTATGTCTTTCAGGAAATTCTGAATGTTGAGAAACTGCATAGTAATGACCCCTGCCTATTAAAACAAATAAAATTCAACTAAACGTGCCTTTTTTATGCCGTGATAAATGCGAAGTTGATGGATAAATATCAACATTATTATTCAACTCAGCTGTTGAAAAATTACATTTTCATTTATACGACTGACTATATCAATAATAATAATAATAATAATAGCAACTATTATTTAAATAATTTATAGGATTATATTTTGAATTATTATCTTTATATATTTAAACATTTTTTTGTTATCGTTTCGTTTAAACAAAGGTATCACGATAGGTCGATCAGTGGTTTGAAGCGATCGATTTATTTTCACCACTTGGCAATTGTTAATCGGATCTTTGGATAATTGTATTTTATTTTCTTTCGACGTGATATTATTTGTATGTATGAATGTATTTGAATTTTTGACTGGTGATTAGTGATAGATGACAATACAAAATGCCCGGGCCAATATAAAATTCTAATATTAATGGGGGAGAAATGAGAAGTCGGTACCTAATAAGTCTCTGCAAGGAGAGTGGATTTCTCCTTTGAAAAACATAACGTCGGCCCTTGAACATCCTCGGACTTTCGCATATATACGCGCCTACGCTGAAACTTGTCTCAAAGAGAGAACCGCCCGGTAATATATTTCCAATGCCATTGCATATACCCGTATACCTTGCAATATCGAGCTAAATTCAACGAGAGCTACTCAGTCCGCTATTAAAATGCACTTTAAGTTCCCTTCATAACAGGTTCATATTCCATACTACATTTTTACCATTATTTTCAATTCAAACTTATCGATCAATATTACTATTAATTAACGAATATTTACCTCAATTATTATCATTTTCTTAGTCGTCTATTTAAGGGGATTGCGTAATTATTAATCAGACGGGTCAGTCGAATTGCGAGTCTCTTGGAATATCATTCGTCAATTGGTATCATTATCGGGATTCGGATTATGGGACCGGGGTGCGGTCAATTATTATCAGTCATGTTAATCGCTTGACAATTACATGAGACACAGTTAATTGTTTGATTTATCTCGAGTACATGCATCGGTATTCAATAATTTATATTCTTTTTCTTATTCATTTTCGGTGGTTCATTATGCAGAGTCGGCTCTTTAATCAGAAACTTTGCGGTTTATTGAGATTTTTTTCCCGCTGTTGAATAATATCTTTTTCAGTTTATCGGTGAATGTAATTACCAGAATTTTTTGATTTATCAATTTCGGGAGGAATTCGAGGGGAAATGGAGTTCTGCCTGCTTTTCCATGACATTCTGGATTTTCAATAATAAGATGTTGTGAATTCCGGTGAAATTATCCGGCGATTTGATAATAATTATTAAAATTTGCTGTGGAAAATTGAAAAGTTATAAACATTTTGAACAGTGTAAGAGGGTTGACCTGAGATCTACGAAAAAATCCTTAATCCATGTGATTATGACCGCATTATCTTTATGACCTCAAACAGAAAAAAAGAAATGCAGACACCGGTGTGGGCTCCTTGGATGGAAATCAACCTGCGCTTGCGTTATAACTTTGTAATGAAACAGACTGTGTGGAGGGAACCTGTTATCAGCAGCACTAGTTTTCGTTGGCGATGTGAATCTGGTGCAGAATATTTATTACATGTTAAAAATTCTGGTTAGATTACTCGATACATCGACTGTTAAATTCTGGCCTGAAGAGTCATGTGACGTTATCAGAATGAGTCAAGAGGAATGGCAAAACTTGGATTGGTGCACCTGTGAGTAAACTCTTCATTTTGTTTAAATTAATTAAAATATTTTCAGAGCTTGCTTTACCATTCCATCGAAGAATCAAAAGATGTTAAGCTCCAAAAAATCCAAAAATCGAAAGAAATTATTCATTTGTAGATTGAAATATATTTTTAAAAAATACTCAGTACAAAATTACGCATTACCAATTTATTAAAAATTATACCACTTAATTTACTTCAATTTCCCGGATTTATAGCAATTTTCATGGATTAAATTAACTAAAAATTAACTTCATAAGTTCTATTTGTTTTTCCATGAAACAATGAATTTTGAACCGGTGGAGTTTCTTGAAATTGTAATGAGCGTTGAATTGATTGGAAATTAAACGAAATTGAGATTTTTCTCTATAATTGTACAACCGAAATATTCATGAAGAATCTCTACATTTTAAAAACAATTATGCGAGTTGATAAAATTAATCCGGGATTTTCTCTCCCTCGAAGAAAACATTTCTTAATGCAGCATCTTTTTCTCCAAGTGTGATAAAGTGTATATGGTGGGCATGGGCTCTCTTGGCAACGGTGAAACACAATGACCGCCCTCTAATTATTGAAATACCGCGGCACTTTGAGAGTTCCCTTCAAGTTCATCTTAGAGGGGTTCACTCACTTTCGTTTGCTTCCTTTGGCTTCTTTTAAAATTGTTTCGCCTTTTGCTAACCGTTCATATACTCTGGTATTTCAATCCTTATTTTTAGTGCCCATTTGAGCCATCTCAAAAAAACAGAATGAGATACAACTAAGAATTTTTACTTATTTTACGCTAACTACAGGAACAATTACAAGGAATCATTATTTTTTATTATTTTTTATCATTTTTTCTCATTTTTTATCATTTTTTATCATTTTTTATCATTTTTTATCATTTTTTCTCATTTTTTATCATTTTTTTCTCATTTTTTATCATTTTTTATCATTTTTTATCATTTTTTCTCATTTTTTCTCATTTTTTCTCATTTTTTCTCATTTTTTCTCATTTTTTGGTTTCCATGACGAATTTAAGAAAGGAATTCTCCGCCTGATTCAAGTATTTAAGACTTCATTTTATTGAAAGAAAAAAAAATAGGGTAAATATATAGTATCAGTTCACTCCACCTGTTGGTGAGTAATTTCAAAAAGAAATCTCCTGCACGTCATAAACTAATTATTAACATTTAATCAGTCATTGAGTATCATCAACCGATGGAGGTAGCCATCACACATCTCCATATCCCTATAGAAACCGATTGACCCAGTTGATGCTGAACAGTGTCATTTTATTTGCCACCACAAACTGACATCCTGTTTGTTGAATTTCATTAGCGTCCCCCGATCATCCACAATGCCACTCATAAAATAGATGCTTTTTTTTCACGCGAATGTTTTTATTAGCAGTTTATATTACACCGACAGATGTTTGCCAGGATACAATAGTCTCTCCTCTCTAAGCCCTAGGAATAGTCCAGTTACAGGCTAATACCACATTGTTGTCGACACAATCAACAACAAAAGAGTTTTCTCAGGACTCTATTTATTTCTCTCTTTATCCCATAAACACCGGAACTCGTCTCTCTTTTTTTTGTTATAAAAAATAATATTTTTCTTAGGACAAGCCCTCGACGGGGCTCGCGACTCAGAATCTTCATGAGGATCGAGTTTCTCAGCGAAGCCACCCTCGGTGAAAAAAAAAAATGTAACAAAAATTGGATCAAGGTTGAAATGGTGGGTAATTTGAGATAAACTCTTCTTGTCTATAACTACTGCAAAAAATAGCTACTATGGCTACTATAATGGAAGAAGCTGAGATTCTGAGACAAAGAAAATCGACTTGATTGTTCGTTTTTTTTTTTCCCATTATTTTCTTTCGCTTTCAGCTCCTCTGATTCTCCACTCGCTCTCGACATTATCATTACGCCGTGGGGTTAGTCAAGCTCGTTAATTGGCCGACGTATAAATAACGCAATCATAAAGCTAATAACGTCCCATTAAAGTGCACTCGTGGTTTTGTGTGTTGGTGATGACGGCATCGAGACACCGGGGAAATCGTAACTTTGGAATTCACCGCTGGTTCTATCCCCTCGAATGCTTTGTAAATATCGGGTCTGAGGATCATCTGCTCTTACCTATCGTAAAGAGGGGTATTTCGACTGTATAAATTTCTACGGAGTTAATTAGCGAATTTAGGGGCGTGGGTGGGGGACGGAACCGGAAATAATCAATTTTGATAAAATCCTCGGGAAATATTGATCACCACAAAAATCTTCAGAATTATCGGATATTTCCTGGTTGATTCGTTGAAAATTTATTGCATATAATCCGGGATAATAATAAAATAGTAAAAATCTATTAAATGAGATTTTCCCATGAATCCATCAAAACTCATTTTCCAATCATGGGAAAAATCTATTTCATCGATTTTTGATCATCGCACAAGATTTTTCTAAAAAACTTGATGACATCATTCGTTTATTGCACAATTATTGGCACAAGTAAATATTGATCAATAGTGGTAATTGAAATATATAGATCTTCTTGTATGAACTAAATTTACTAGTTCCAGTAATTTTTCTCTCCGTGAATTTAATTTGTTGTGCTGTTTAATGAATTCTCAGAACGGTGCAATTATTCAAATCTTTAGTTTTGGAGTGAGTGGTAAATTTTGGAAAATAAATGTAAAAATCTAAAAAAATGTAATGGGATATTGAAAAATAAAATATTGTTGTATGCGCATTGATCGTTCAGTTTTTCTCATAGAACGTTGCGCAATTCTCCATCCGGCAATACCTCCCACCGACAAACACGACTTAAAATATAGTTTTGATCGGGGAACACATAACGTTCTCGAATGTTAAAATCAACTCCAATGTTTTACATTGTATTGTGCACACAATAAGAGCATCATTAAACTCGTTTCCTCTAACTCTATACTTGTCCACTCTTTTTCCTCGTTTTTTTTTTCTCTCATTTTCGTGCATGTATATGTATATATATACCTGTACGAAGATAGCAGCTGGCATGCTGCGCAACGAGACACAATTCCTGTTATTTGTTCCCACAATCGGAATTTACGAAAAAAAAAAATTGAAAAAACATAAACAATACGAGGAAAAATGGATAATGGCACTGATGAAAAATGCGGACATGAGCCAGACGTTTTCCGTGATTCAAGAGAGTTGGGAGAACTTTATTGGGGTAGTTCATCCATGAAGAAATATTTCCACCGGAAGTTTATTACTGGAACAAATGCCCAGTGCTTTACCTGACATCCAAGATTGTTTTCATTAATTATTTCATTGTTAATAAGCATTCGGAAGGATTTCGCTGGAAAAATTATTATTCTTAATTAATATTTCTAAGTAAAATTGATTGTAAAAAATATTACGTGAAAATTATTGTTAATTTAACAATTCGTTTCGATGATTTATCACATTGATAAATGAAAAACAATAATAATCGATAATAATAATTAATAATAATAAATGAAAATTAATAATAATTTTTTTCAATGACAATTTTGGCATTTAAAAATTCTATTCAACGATTTATCGCATTAATCAATGAAAAATAATAATAATTAATAATAATAGATCATTTGGCTCCGTGGGGATACATGATCTCGATATTATAAATTGGAATGAATGCCTACAATAGTTTTCTTTATCCGGAATTCATTTTTTAGGGGTGAAGTTGAGCCATGTGGCGTTAAAAACGGGAAGAAAAATTAGAGCATATGGTTTCCACCTTCTGTACTGTGTTATTATTCCCATAATTGATCCCCCAAATGACCGGGAATAATCTCATGTTATTAACCCTTAGAATTTCTCAACCAATCGGAAATGATCTCTCTCACTAATTATTAGAAAATGTCAAATTTATCAACTGAAATTTTTTTCATAAAAAAAGTTTGTAAAGGAAATATTCCGATACTAGAATTTATTTCTGGCCTGCGGCTCTTTTTTAGAGTTGTCATAGAATTTTTCTAGGAAATTACAATCCATGTTGTGATTTTATTCGTGCTATATTTCCAGATAGTTTTTTTTCAACTCATTTTTGTTTCCATTCATACCTGTGGGACCATTGAATGAGCTATTTTGTCTCTTTATGAAACCCTCAGCACTTTGTAGGAAGAAACCAATTATCTAATTCCATCCTTCACAATTATCTAATCCCGCGATATTTACATTTGAAAGAAACTTCAAAAGTGATTCCCATTATTTCATATTTGCCGCTTATTTTGTACCTCAGAATAGAGTAAAATAAATAAATCCTATTCTAAAAAGGACAAACTTCGAGACTATCGATATCTCGAAAGCCTGTCTCGCTTATTCCTCATTGGTTCAGTTGTTTAAGGCGGCTAATTTGAATTTGGTATTCATTTAAATTAACAATTTTTAATCGCGATTTTTATAATCCTATTCTAAAAAGGATAAACTTCGAGACTATCGATATCTCGAAACTCTGTCACGCTTATTCCTCATTGGTTCAGTCGTTTAAGGCGGCTAATTTGAATTTGGTACTCATTTAAATTAACAATTTTTAATCGCGATTTTTATAATTACAGCGCGCTGTAGCGCGCGTTCGTTCTTCACAATAAATTCGGAAAGAGAAAACAATTTCACGTTGATGATCACAAAATTCAAATGCTCTGCGAATTAAATTGAAATTCTGGGATTAGTCACCGGCATATCATGATGATGAATCCTCTGTTTCAGAGGAAACGAATGATTCCGGTTTTCACAGTTGTCACTGGGTCATCGGACTTTTTATCTCCACAATCCGACAAAAACTAGTCTTTCCTCAAAAAGTCATTTCGTTCCACTGTCCCTGCAGTTGACTCTCTCCAACAAATTAATCTCAACCAACAAAGAAGACAGATAGTATCATGTAATTCGACCAATCTATTGAGCATACCCACCTATAAATTCGATCCATTAATCGGGAAATGTAAATAAAACCAAGTTATCGAGGAGAATTGATGTAATTTATACGGAGTATCACAGGGGTATTTTTCCCTCCCTCGAAACATACACCCACAGCCCATCGACTATAGTTACATCGATAATCATATCGATGTAGAACGCCGTTGTGTTCTCTCGTAAAAATCTGCCGGAGGAATGAATCATGTAAAATGATAGCAATCGAGTTTGCCAGCGTGTGTCCGTCATACGAATGTAAATATTCAATAAAAAATATGTACCTGCCAATTCCACGCAATTCCAGAACTGTCAATTTTCCCCAATTTTTGTCTTCAAATTTTTGCATTGTAATTATTACAGAAAATTTAATTTTATATTACACGTTATACCCATGATCCCCCAAAAACTCCGAAAATACAATTTTCGTCTCCAGTTGGGCGTTAATTTTTTTTATTCATATATAAATATTGTTGAGTGCTTCCCTAGTCAGTGATATCGATTAAAAATCAATGAATTCATTAATTTTTTTGATTTTAGATTTTTTAAATAATCGGATTTTGATAACTGAATAAAAAATTTGATGAAGTCTTCCAAAATTGACTTAAATAATAATAATATAATATCAGTAATAATAATATCAATAACCCTCGATTTCTCTGACCCGCCAAATATTGAATGGATGGCAAAATTCCCCTGAATTTCAAAATCATAAAACGACCAAAAACGATGAAAAAAAAAATGACGAAAAAAGAGTCCACCAGCAGTATAAACCAAGGGCATGCAAATGAGAAGCTGAACGTTGGGGAAACCACCGAAACCCATCCGTTATCACCTTCCCCGCCTCATAACAAAAAATTAGATGAAGCAGTGAATAAAGTGGTCGAGCCTGTAAAATTAAAATCCAATAAAACGAAAAAAGATGTTTGAGAAAAAAAAAAGGCAAAAAGGAAAAAAAAAAGAGGGAATTAAAATGCGAGTAAAAAAGAGGCGAAGCAAGAGCGGTGAAGAGAGGTAGAATCGTAGAGGTAAGATCGTAGAGGCTGTGGGGCCGGCGATCCTAAAGGTAGGAAGCCCCTGAGAAGCGGTCCGCAGTCCATCGCGGTACCTCATCTCGTCCAAACCAAAACTTTGTGCCAGAGCGCTTTTCAAATCTGTCTTGTACACTCATTCAGATCACCAATGTACCACTCATTGAAATCACCAATCACCACTTGACTCCTCTGGCAAAATCATCCCAATCGCTTTAACCTGGGGACAACCTGGGGATCTATTGGGTTTGGAGGTGGATTGATGTCATGGAAATTGCTGGAGTGGTGGTCGGTTGACTGGAACTGGAGGGACACGACAGACTTCTGGGGGCACACAGCACTCATTCAGTTCACACCCTTCAATAGCATCAAGCCTGGAATCAATTCATTCCTGGATTCTTCACGAAAAAAAGAACTAATTATTTCATTCATTTGCTTAGTTCTTATTTGGTGTTATTATCCAGTGATTATTCAGTTATTATTCGGTTATTATTCAATTATTAATCAGTTATTATTCAGTTATTATGCAGTTATTATTCAGTTATTATTCAGGTATTATCCAGTTGTTATCAGTGATGAGTGACTAGTGATTTGGAACCAATAATTAGTGCATTGTCTTGTGGATATTAAAATTTCAATGGATTTATGGGTGCGCAGAGATTACGAAAAGGGAGGAAAATAGCTGGTGGTTATTTACAGAATTTCGATAACCAGAGCACTCTCGTTATCACACCAATTAGTACCATCTATCCCCTAATTACTGGCTCCTGATGACTCGCATTCGACGCATCGAAGGATTTTTTTAATCGTTTGGATAATCGGTTTCAACTTTCCACACTGTGATTTCACTTTTCTTCGGTGATTATTCTCCATATTTTGCTTTTCGAGTGGTACATGTGCTTTGAGGATTTTTTCTTGGTTGGAGTTTAGTGGGGTGTATTGCACTTAGTGGATCAGTGTCTTTTGGAGTGTTGAGGAATGTTGATGAAATAGTTTGATGAAATAAGGTGATTGTGATGTAAGAGATGCGTCGTGGTGATATCGCGGTGGTCGCGATAGCCCTTACGATTCTTGGGCTAATCCAGAGCCCTTATCAGTCGAGGTAAGTTTAGATATCAATTTGTTGGGGTGAGGATTATCTAATTAATTCTTGCTGAAGAATTAATTAGACTCCGGTGAATCTACCGGTCACCTCTACATTATTTCAAGCGCTTTATCGGAAGGATTTTTTAAAATTCATATACGCGTGTAATGCGCAAGATGAAAGGATCTTCGGAAATTTTCTGACGAACATCTTCGAAATTAACTCGTTCTCTTCAGATAAGTCATTTCTCTCTTGTGGGGTAATGAATGTCATGAGGAATTAAATATTCTAGGGCAAGTTATCGAAGAAGTATATTCACATGACGGAAATATAGATTTTTCTCAATATAACAAATCGCCATCACTTTAGGGGGTCTCCCTTCGATTGGAATGTAATTAAAAATTTATTATTAATTTATTATTTATTTTAATCATTGACTTATCGATTCAATTGCAATTTTGTAATTAAAAGGATGTAATTGCAAATTTATCAACAATCAAATGACTTCTAAGGTCGAATTAGACTGACATCGATATATCGATACCTTGCGATTATTCCTGAAGCCAAAAATCTGGAACAAAAAGAATCGTGACGTCAGATGAAGATGAGCCAACACTTCCGTCAAATCGTCCATGTCGCAGTGAAATTACGAAAGAGTTACATAATTATTGTGTATCCCTCTGGCCGAGAGGAAAATATCCCGTCGGCGGGTAGAATCGATAATGAATTAAAATTGGGATAAAAAAATAAAGATCATCTTACGTTTTGCATCATCAATTTATGCGAACTGAATTCACAAAAGATTGTGTACCGTAAGAACATGGGCCCATGGGCCCAGGAACATGGCTCACGAGCCAGCCATTCGGCACGATTGGTTGGTGGGGAGGGGGAGGGTGAGGAGGGGAAGGTAAAGGGGGAAGGTCTTTGCAATTAGGTCCATCATGGGTATAAGTTCGAGTGGTTGTAGACGTGGTGGACCACCTCGATGTGGACACACATCCCGTTTTTGGGTCCACGAAACACACGATACGTTTCACCACGGAAATTGGAGATCGATGGACCGATATCGAGCCACTGGGCACGAGTATTTCGCTCATCGAAAAAGGGGAGTGGGTTATATTTGCCATATTTTTATCTTTTTTGTCAATTTTTTTTTGTTAAACGTTATTAGCAAAATCTATTGCGAAAGGTTTGCATATCGAAGGGGAAATGGACGGCATTTATTTAGAACCCGGTTTGAAGTCTGTGGAATTGTTACAACCAATGGAATTTCATGCTCGTTCCGTTGGGGAATTAGCATTAATTGATAACCGTGTCGCTGATTAAGGAAATTAGCATTGATCGATGAAATGATATTGGTGATTGATGGATCGTGTTTGGTGGAGGCGATTGGCTTGCTCGGGGGTTTAGTGGACTTTTTTTTTTTAATTACTTGTTCGATTTGGAGAGAGATTTTTTTATACTCCATGATTGAATATTCGATTGGAATTGGAATTTTTGGGTTGTGGGTGGGATTTTCTTTTTTTTTGGATCAATTCGGAAATTGTGATTGGTTTTGAAGACTTAGGGTGTAAAATATATTTGCGGATTGATTTTTTCGGTTTTTAAAAACAATTTTGGTGGGGGTGGTGGGATGGTGAGATGGTGGGGGTTGTGGGATGATGAGATTGTGAGATGGTGAAATGGTGAGATGGTGAGATGGTGAGATCGTGAGATCGTGAGATGGAGATGACAACCTTTGGTATTGAAATTTGTAATTTATATCGACAATAATTGAGAATGGCCGGACAATTTCTCTGTTGGCAATGACACTTTGACGTAACAAAGGCTTAAATTTATGGGGCGTGGGGTGAAATATGCGCTTTGGAGATTAAAGGTCTTCTCCTGGGGTAATGAAAGTCGTCACTTTTTGGGTGTTAATGGTAAAAATTCCGGTATCGAAGTGAATGTTCTCCCTTCGCCCACCCGAATCGCTAATTTTTACACAAAAATTCCTTCCGTGTCTGGTAGAAGGCTGGCCATCAGGCATCATCCTGGTCACGCCTCTCAGCATCTTCAAGCACCATCTAATGAGCCGTTGGAATTTTTTTCCGAATTTTCGTCTGCCTTTAATCAATCAACAACAGCTCACCAGTGTAAAATCCCCTGGGCATTCCTTCACTGCTTTCATGCTATACTATTCACTCCATTCGTATTGGCTTTTCTCATTCAGAGACAGAATTTAATTTAAATTGCGATTTTAATAATAAACAAATACTCAAGCGAGAAAATTCAATAATATAGGGAATTATACTGGGAATTTGAAGCCTAGTTTTTTATTTGAAAAATTGAAATGAAAGAATTTGAAGGAGAAAGTCAATTTTTTGTAGAATCATTCATTAACGAGTTAATTAATCTCTTATTTATTTAAATTATTCGAAATTGTCAAATGCGTACGTTATTAAGAACCATTGAACATTTGGAAAAATCAATTAACAATTTGCCTGAATTTTTATCCCATTGAAAATGTAATTATACTTAATGTGGAATTTTTTAAATAAATTTAATTAAAGTTTTTTTTTCAATAAATCATCAATTATGGAAAAGATCGAATTTTCCTGAATTTAGTGACCATTTAAAATTAAAATTGAATTGCATTTAACAAATAATTAGACGAGAAATTTCCTCGGCAGATTCGCGATTTTCCTGGAGTCAGCAAGAATTGTTTCTCTTCAGAATTTCCTCCCACTTCAGGTACGAGATACTGAAAAAGGTCTGCTCCACCCACCGCGCAATCTCGAACCAAAAAAATCAAATAGAAATTCAAAAAAAGAATCATCTCACTGTCCGGAGGAAATTGTGAAAGTCACTATCGTGACGTGAATTCTTCAACGCGCGGTCTATTAAGACCCCGACAAATTTGATACGCCAATCATACGTCGCTTCAATCACCTGACCTGTCACAGCCATGAAAGAGATCGTTATGTCAATGTGTCAGGAAATATGTAAATAGCATCTAACATACAAAAATATTTTGAATGATTTTGAGGGCTCCTTGTTCTTCCGATCGATCAAAGGGAAGACGCCATTGAAAAATTATCGATTGTTTACAAATACCCGATGAAATAAATACTTCAACTACTGTTTACAACACTTGCACCTCGTAATACTCTCGATTCTCCGATATAAACTTATTGATTATCTCATCGAAGTATTTCATCAGCTCCTCAGTCGAATCCAGTCTCAGATCATTCCCAGAAAGGAATCCCCAAGGAACTATTTTAATTGATAAAATCAATAAAATAAATAACTCAAACAAATTGAAATAAATAATAGTCTCTCGAATAAAAATTTTAAATGTCTCAATTTGTGGTAGATTTTTGCAACTCCAGAAAATCCATTCACCGTGAAAATCGGGGGAAAGGATTCCAACAGGAAGATGGATTGCTGCATAATTCAATATTTCAATTAATTCGTTAATTTTTTTTTTTAATCGATCGTTCACATCCCGGTACATGTAGCATGAGTGTATCTCGGGGGATACTGGATCTGATTTCACGGCCTCAGGCCAGAGCTCGATATTCCATGAGAAAAACATACCTTGAAGAGTGTCTTGTGATTTTACATCTTCTTGTACAGACCCTGCGAAAAACTCCACTTGAGATATTACACGATCAGTATATCCACTCGGAAATTTCTCAATCGATGCAAATTAACGATTCCAATCACGAAAGTGCGACAATTTTTCCGATAATTTCTGTATAGTTTTATTTTAACACATCATACAGTTAACGGATGACGGATTTAATTAACAATCAGCTATTAATGTCACTCAACGAATCTAATTAAAATTATACTAATGTAATAGTAATATTTATTAATTATTCTATTAATATGTTATTCATTTTTATTATTGTTAGTCGAATATTTTCTCATTAAAATTCTAGGCATGTGCTAATTTACTGCCATTTTATAATAATTATTTTCATGGGGCTGTATTTATTATCATAAATCATGCGTGGAAAAAGGTCGCGATCTCTCAAAAGGATTGAGTCAAAATGAGTTGCATTTTCCATTATTCGCCTCAAAACCTCCGCGTCATCCGCAATCTTTAACTTTAATCTTTAACACTTTCTGCTTTTCAAGGGGAAAAAATGGATTTACTACTGAATTAATGTCTTACCCAATAAAATTTCGATTGCCGACACTCGAATATTTTCTGAAGTATTTCTCGGCGTGGAGTAATCAACCCATAAATTGTTATTACAAATTTTCTTGTCGGTGTCAATTTCCGAATGGCGTATTTCAAGCAGGATACACCCACGTTATCATTTTCATCAATAATACAAGAGAATAATATCATGATCCTTTATTTGAGTCCGTAGTAACCTGTCGTGGATTTTCCGCAAAAAAAAATCGTCAAGAAATGTTTTTGGTGGTTTAATGAAATTTTCGGGAACATCTGGAAATAATCCACAAGCTTTCGCCCATTGAAAAATCTATGGAAAATATTTATTATTATTATTTTTCATTGTTTTTAGTGATATAGTCATTTTGGTTTTTTAATATATTTTATTTATTAAAAGAAATTTTAGAATTACAGAATTTTAGAATTTTAGAATTTTAGAATTTTAGAATTTTAGAATTTTAGAATTTTAGAATTTTAGAATTTTAGAATTTTAGAATTTTAGAATTTTAGAAATAGGAAAAGAAATTTAGAATCACTACATAAGGGGATTTTGATGCATGATATTTAAATTGAAATGTTCTTGTAACACGTAATAATACAGGATCATACAGTACCGCTTTTCTAAGTATCACCTCTCCATTTCCACAATTCCCAAACATGAAGTCATCGAAAAACCATAAAATCCTGTGAGCCATCAATCACACAATACCCGATGACAGGTAGCATGTCGGCGTGCCTTAAAAGCCCCTCAAAAAACAAGAATTCCCGAGCATTTCCTCAACAATCAACACAAAGCCCAAAGAATGTATCGTTATACACGCCTTGAACTGCAAACGTGAAAAGCAGAGTA